TCATATAGTTTTATGAATATAAGATTGTATGCCTAGGAATAGTGAATATGAAACTAGGATTAACTATAAAATATGTAAATCAATGTGTAAGCATGTGTGATGAACATCTATACATGAGTTGATTGAATTGAACAAATTTGATTAACTATTATTATAAGACTTGCTTGATACAAACTGAACACTAGGAAACTTGTTAATTTAATGACTTGATCACTGTTTGAATTAACTTGTCTACTAAAGGATTGGTAATAATGAACATGAACCCAATCACATTAGGAATCGGTAACCATTGACATATTAATTCATTGCATTTGCCACGAAATCAACCATAGGAATAAGTGAATCGAATCTAAACAGAAGTCTCTTTTATCATTGAATCTAGCTGTCCTTTCTTGTTCTTCTTAGTTGTTAATTGTCTTTGTTTGAAAGTTAATTGATTGATTAAGTTTATAGTCTTGCAAAACTAGAGAAAACCCCCCTCTTTTATTAATTGTTTTTAGTTAGGTAATACTAGTATTTAATTTGATTGTTACCGTTCCCTGTGTTCGATACCCTACTTGCTTAAACTAAACTACTATCGATAGGTACACTGCCTGCGTGTGTTTGTTTACATTTGAGTTTGTTAGGATTAAAACTAGTACGTTTTACACACATCATTAGGTCCGGTATGCTTTAAACTTTTTCATAATGTCTATTTTTCACTTAATATTTTTTTCTTTTTTTAGTTTTTTTTTCTTATTTAATTAAAAGAAAAACTAAAAAAGAAATTTTGCATTTTCTATTTATTTTTATAATTTTTATAAAAAAATAAAAAAGAAATCTCTCTTTCTCTCTCTCTCTCTCTCTCTCTCTCTCTCCCTCTCTCCTTTGGACAAGGAAATCCACCAAGACACCTCCTCTGATCTGCCTTGCTCCCTATTGTCTTGTGATAAACCTCCACCCCAACACTCTCACCATTGCCTATCGCCTTCCTCCGACCATAGAGTTGTGCCACCGGAAAACCACCAGGGACCACCGGAACATCACCGCTGCCACCACCCATTTACCCTCCTACCATCACCGATTAACCCACCAACCACAACCCTTTCCCTCCTCCTTCCCTCTGGTCAAACCCGTCGAAACAGGAAGACGAAATCAACGAAGCTGCCATCTCCATCCACTGCCACAGTCTTCACCTTCTTGTTTTGCCACTGTTGATGAAAGTTCGACCACCACTTTATACACCCTCCTCTCGACTTAAAATCACCACCAAACACCACTCCCATTCGATTTCTCCACTGATTTCGACCAGAACCCAACCAAAAACGAGGCCGAAGGCTACCAGAGCAACTTCCGACCACCATAGTAGGTAGTCGCAACTGTGGGTCACCACCGCCAATAGCTGCTGTTTTCGCCGACCCTCTCCAGCCAGTCTCGTCACCCTTTGCGACCTGTATAAGTCCGATTCTCCACCGTGAGAGGATTGTTTTCATGTTCGATCGATCAAGAGGATCGATTACAGATGTTCCTTACCTGCAATCGTAATTTTGTCGAAAAATGGTGCTGTCATCATCCTCAGTCTCATCGTGTTTATGTTTTGTTCATCTTGAAATTGGCTTGTGCCTCCCTCCTTATGGATCTGTAACACCCATCCAGATCATCATCGAAATCGAAAGGCTTTTCTGAGGAAGATGGTCGCCTGAGAATATGACTTGAAGATGGTGTTGTTCGCCTAAACTCCGATGAAGGCGAGAAGATGGTGTGTTCTTGGATCTTGAGGGTTGCAAGTTGTAGGTTTTTGGGGTTTCGGAGGTGGAAGCCTCTTTGTCGGAAGCCTCCATCATCGATGGTGGTGGTGGGGAAGAGAATGGGGTTTTTTGAAAATCTAATGAAGCGGATGCTTTTGTGTATGTGTGTGTGTGTGAGAAAGAGAGAGAGAGAGAGAGAGAGAGAGAGAGAGTATTTTACTTTTTTTTAATTTCTATAATAAAAAAATTGGAAAAAAGAAAATGCAAAGGGCACAATCATCATTATGAAAAAGTTTAAAGCAAACTGGACCAAACTCGCAACAAAATAAAAAGTTTGGATCTCTGGTGCTAGTCCAAACTTTTTGGGACCAAAGTGGCAACTTTCAGCTAACCACAGGGACCATTTGTGCAGTTTTCTCTCTCTCTCTCTCTCTCTCTATGTGTGTGTGTATATATATATATATATATATATATATATGGTTAGGTTATTTTTTTTCACTATCTATTGTGTGCATTTATGATTGATTCTTGACCAATCATTTTAGTTATTTTAGTTATTTAAGAAAGTAATTAATAATATTACATGTTGGTTCAAAATCAATCATACATAATCACAATAGATAGTGAAAATATTTGAACTTATATATATATATATATATATATATATATATATATATATATATATATATATACACACACACACTTGAAGTGAGAGCATGAACGTCGATTGGGTAAAGATCCCCACTGCTATTGTGCATCTTCGAGTGTTTCTCACTCTTGTAATCCTTCATAGAGAAAGCATAGGGGTCAAATTCAAAGGATACAATAAATGCAAATATATATGGAGATATATCCTGTTAATTAAAACACCAATATTTCGGTTTTAAAATAGTTATGGCAAAGGAGCAAATCTTGAACAGATCATCATGTTTGCATTTTTAAATATATAAAAATATTTTGGGAAATCTTCAGAAAAGTCCCAATATTTACAGAAAAGTTACACTTTAGTCCCAAGATTTTTTTTTTAAACGAAAAAGTCCTGAAAACCGGCAAAAATTTGCAATTTGACCCTTTTTGACCGGTTGAAACCGGTACCAAATTAATTTGGGACTATTTCGTAAACTAATCCAAAATATTGGGATTTTTCTGTAAACAAAAAATATTAGGACTTTTCTGTAAACAAAAATATTAGGACTTTTTTCTACAAACAGAACCCTTATTATTATTATTATTATTATTATTATTATTATTATTATTGTTATTATTATTATTAAAAATATAAATAAGACTACTATTTTTTCAACTTGTTATTGTTAATATTGTTACTAATACATATAAATGCATTAAATGAAAAAATAATATTAATAACATTGTTTAAGGGTGGAGGTGGAGGAGATGGTGATGCTTTTAGCATTGAAATCGTGAATGTCTGCCTGAATAGTTTTACTTTGTATATGGTCATTTCATATTTGTTATTATTGTTTTCAATTCAAAATATTAATACTTAACAATTTGAAAGAAGTTGCATATTAATAGTTTAAGGTAGTAGAGTTTCTCACTTTGTATATAAAATTGTTTAATGTAGAAGAGTTACTTTCCAAATTCAACAAATTCAGTACAAACATTTGCATAAGTAACTCATATCAAAATTCAAAAGTATTAATTACAATATTTTGTTTAATAAAATTTAATAGGAATAATTCAAAAGTATTAATCAAAATTCAAAAGTATTAATCCAAAAAACATGTCATATTGCTTTTTATTAAACAAGATATTATAATTAATATTGTTGAATTTTAATATGGGCTACCTATATAGATGTTTGTAGTGGATCTGTTGGATTTGGAAAATAATCCTTCCAGCTTAAACATTTTTATATACAAAGTGAGAAATCATTCTAGCTTAAACCATTTATAAACAATTTTACAAATATGCAACTTCTTTTAAATTGTTAAGTATTATTATTCTGAATTGAAAACAATAACAACAAATGTCAAATGACCATATACAAAGTAAAAATATATAAGCAAACATTCATGATTTCAATGCTAAAAGGATCAACATCTCCTCCACCTCCACCTTTAAACAATGTCATTAATATTATTTTTTCATTTAATGCATTTATATGTATTAGTAACAATATTAATAATAACAAGTTCAAAAAATAGTATTCTTATTTATATTTTTAATAATAATAATAATAATAATAATAATAATAATAATAATAATAATAATAATAATAATAATAATGATGATGATGATGATGATGATGATGATAACAATAATAATAATAATAAGAGTTCTGTTTGTAGAAAATTCATAATATTTTTGTTTATAGAAAAGTCCTAATATTTTTTGTTTACAAAAAAGTCTCAATATTTTGGATTAGTTTAAGAAATAGTCCCAAATTAATTTGGTACCGGTTTCAACCGGTCAAAAAGGGTCAAACTGTAAATTTTTGCCGGTTTTCGGGACTTTTTCATTCAAAAAAAAAATCTTGAAACTAAAGTGTAACTTTTCTGTAAATATTAGGATTTTTCTGTAACTTTTCTGTAAATATTAGAACTTTTCTGAAGATTTCCTAAATATTTTTGAATGGACTGTCCACCAAACACTTGCTTTTCAAAAGATATAGAAAATGTCTACTAGACCATACAATAAAGAAGGTAACATGTGGTCTATGCGAACCTGATAGAAGTCAATGCCTTGGGTTCAATAAAAAATAAAAAATATATGATCCGAAAAGCCCATTAACTCTTTTTTTATTGCGTACTTTGAGATTTTTCATTACATCAACATATTTAACATTTATATATGACAATTATTTTCTTCCACCGATTACCAATACGGTCTTTACTGACATTTTCTTGTATTTTAGTTATCCTTCTTTTATACTCTTGAATATTATTTTATTTGTTAGGTTCATATCTTTAAAAAGGTTTAAATGTTGGAACAAATATTTACAAAAACTACAAATGAAACGGAAAACCGAAGAGGTGTGAACAAATATTCTCCATATCATCTTAAAATTAATGTTTATAATTTTAAAGGACTTCAAAAATTAAAATAAAACCATGGGCAATATAATAATAAGTGACAGTTAATTTTTCCAAATATTATCTATATCTTATAATATTTAATTTTGCAGGAGTTGAAATTTGATTAAAGCCATGGCAATTAAGTAGGGCCTGTAAGCACACTCCATTCTATATTATTGACAGCCAGAAGGGTGCTTCTACCATAACCAGCCTTCATCACCAAAATCATAAGACAATGTCTTCTTCACGCCTAAACCTTGAAAATTATTCAATTCCTCTGGAGGAGATCAACCTTGCCACCGAGAACTTCAGTCCACAAAGATGTATTGGAGGTGGTGGATTTGGTTACGTCTACAGAGGACAACTCTCAAAATACTGGCAAGATCGCATAGTTGCTATCAAACGCCTAGCTAAGGATAGCTACCAAGGGGAGCGCGAATTCCGCAACGAGGTCGAGAAGATTTCCGGATTCCACCATGAAAATATCATCTCCTTCGTTGGTTATTGTGATGAAGATAATGAGATGATTATCGTTTATGAGTATGCGATCAATGGAAGCCTTGATCATCATCTCAAAGATCAAAATAAGATGTGTTGCATAACATGGATACAGCGCCTGAAGATTTGTCTAGAGGCAGCAAGAGGTCTTAATTACCTTCATGTGGGTCGTGGGGAGCATAACAGTGTAATACACCGAGACATCAAGAGTGCCAATATTCTTTTAGATGACAATATGGTCGCAAAAATTTGTGATTTTGGGTTGTCAAGATCAGGAACCAAAAGTCATCCAAGTAGCCATATATATACAAAGGTTGCGGGTACCCAGTATTACATAGATCCCACTTACATTGAAAGCAACATCCTACGTCAAGAGTCGGACGTATACTCATTTGGTGTGGTACTGTTTGAAATGTTGAGTGGGATGTTGGTTTATCAAACAAGGAGAATCGGAGAGGATATGTCTGACTCTCTCATAAAGTTCGTTCGAAGATACTATCACAGTGAACTACACAAATTAATTGATCCCAATATAAAAGATCAAATTAGCAATCGTTCCTTGTATACATTTAACGAAGTTGCATGTAAGTGCATTAGTTACGATTTCAAGAAACGTCCTACATTTGACATGGTGATTAAGAGCATTGAGCAAGCATTGGATACTCAAGTAAGCGTTTTTCATTTAATGATTTTAAAAGAAGTCTTGATTTATAGCAAGATTGGAAAATATCATGAGACATACAACAAAATTTTGGTTTAATTTAACTTTATCCGTTTATCATATGGAACTTACTTTTTGTGAAAGGTTAAATATAGATAATCTCAATTTCCATTTATTTGTCTCTTATTCTCAAATTATGTTTTTCTTTAAGTTGTGCGCTTTTCAAGTAGTATGTTTGAAGAAGTGTATAAATGCAAAAATATTTATTGATATGAATTCGAATATAGTTGCAGGAGAACGTTTCTGCCCTTATTGAGTGTGTTCAGAAAGACCAAGGATTTAGTCATGAAAAACCTGTTGCAGCATTTACCATATACAAGTGCCTTCTCCATTGGAATTTTCTTGAAGTAGACAACCCCATGGTGTTCAAGACACTTATTGCTCAAGTATTTCCTTCAGCAATTGAGGTACTTCCTTCATTTTATTAGTGTATCTCTATTCTAATAAATTCTAATAAATGAATAGTTTATTGTCCTATTGACAAGTGTTATTTTATTAGAATTCTTCATTAATATTATATATCACATATCATATCACTTGTCAACCTATTAATTATAAATTTTAAATTTTAAATTTTAAATTTGTCTCTCTAATTACATTAAATTAATAAATGATTTTCCATTTTAAATTTCAAATTTTAAAATTTTTCATTCTAATTATATTAAATTAATAACATTTGAATAAAAAATAAAATAAAATTACTATATATTATAAGGTGATACAACTTCACGTATTTATTTAAATCAACGATTATAATTTTATATAACTAAAAAAATATCTCTTAAGTAATAATTTATTTAAAATAATTATTAATAATTTTGATTTTTTAATATGAAAGTTTAAGTAGTTTTATCCGTGGTTCTCATGGGTTATAAACTACTATTATATATTATATTATGTTTTATGTATTTAGCCCAGTGTATAGATAGCCGATATATATTGTATTTGTTGTAAGCCCATTAGGTTACACTCCTTGTATTCATGTATATATTTGTTTATGGAATGAAGTATCAATTACGGGAAATCATTCTAAGTCTAATATGGTATAAGAGAGGTTGGGGGAATCCAACAAATCCAGGATGCCCACTAGGATTTGTTACACTGTGATTTATGGTCTTGTCTTCATTAAGAATTGAAAGACAAACAATGCCAGAAGGGTAGACATTTGGGTGGAAGAATCCTTGAGGGAATTTACACATTGGTGGTTTGCTTGGATAATCTTCTGTGAAATGAAGACCAAGAAGGTAATAGCCTCCCTCCCAGTCCGTCCCAACCTTACCAGGAATAGTATACTGCCAAACTATCAAATTAACTGTACCATCGGGAAGAGATTCTGGCTTCACAACAAAGCCATGAGGATGATTCTTCCGCATTGCTTTTCGTTCATCGGTGAGACGACCACGAGCTATTCCACCACAATGAAATATCAATTACGAAAATCATTCTAAGTCTAATATGGAGATGTAAAGGGCTCCTACCGAATTTTCTTCCCAATACCTCAACACCCAGTGTGTCGATCTTGCTTTGCCGCCGTTGCCATCATCTCATTCTTTTGCTGCTTCCAATCACTCTTCTTCTTCTTCAACATGATTGGCGAATCGTCTAACCCTAATGGTGGCAACACGAAGGCATACGCTATCACCAACATCAAAGAATTTATACCACCCATTCTTGACTTGAATCAACTTAACTATGATTTTTGGAGGGAGTTTGTACTGTACCGGTTTTGGTGTGCATGGACATCTCGATGGAACATCAAAGACGAAGGGAGATAAAGATGAAGAATGGCCCACCCTTGACTCCATTGTCAAAATTTGGATCTATGGAATTCTAACCCAATCCCTTCTCAACATGGTGACTAAACCCGACTCCACCGCTCACACCCTATGGCTCGACATTGAAGCTTTTTTCTGTAAGAACAAGGAGCTTTGCATTATGGAGCTTGAAAATGAACTCAGACAAATGACCATGGGAGACAAATCGATCAATGAGTTTTATGAAAGAATGAAGGTCACTGCCGACTTACTAGGTAATATCGGTAATCCTGTCACGAAACACACTCTTGTTACTTATTTTCTCAATGGTTTGAGCCCAAAATATAACCATATTGGTACTATCATTTGCCACAAATAACCTCTTCCCACTTTGCTTTAAGCCTGTTCCACCCTTTCTCTTGAAGAATGTCAAGCCTCTCGCTCTTGTCCCAACTCGCTCATCATGTCGATCATGCTTCCACCACTTCTGTACTCTACACCTGGTCTCCCTCATCTTCCCAATCTCACAACAACGACAATAGGAACAATAACAATAGTCGCCACCACAACAACCATGGCAGCACCTCCTCTCATCGATCTCAAGAAACCGACAACAACCGACCTCGGGTTGCTTCCCCTTTCTAGCCTCCTCAACAGTCTCCGTTCATGCGACCTTGGTCCTTTTACCCTTCGCCTTGGATTCCCTATGGATTTCCTGCAGCACCTTGGTCCACTACTAGAACCACCGTTGGACAACATCTACAGCGCCACTGCTAGCCAATACCATTACGCAACAAGGACTGTTGGGCAGCAATCCTATTGCTTATGTTGATTGCTCACCACAGCCCTTGTTTCATGTCATGATTCAACTCACTCCCCCATTGTAATGGTTCCCTCCGACTATCTACGATCAACCTACCAACATTGCAACAACCATGAACTCAATGACAATGAATGACGTCCATGACTCGTCTTAGTATGTGGACATCGGTGCAACTTCTCACTTGGCCTAAGACACAAGTATACTTCACTCTCTTATTAATAGTTTCAAAGTAAATTTTTTTCTTATTGGCAATGGTTCTCATATCCTTGTTACCCATACTGGTTGTGCCCATTTACTTATAACTCATTGTCCCCTTCACCATCATAATGTTCGTGTCACACCTGACCTAATCAAAAAACTTATCTATGTTCGTAAATTCACAACTGATAATGATGATATCGTTGAATTTAACAAGTTTGGTTTTTCTTTGAACAATTGTCGAACATACCAAGTTCTTCTTAGATGTAATAGCTCGGATGATCTCTATCCAGCTTTCTCGGTGCCCTCTACTCAATACATGCTCCTTTCTTGTAGTCCCACCGTATGGTACCAACTCCTTAGTCACCTGGCTCATCGTGTCCTTCGGTTTAAATTCAAATAAATGTATTACATGTAGTGAAAACATTAACTCGGTTGCATGTAATTCTTGTCATCTTGGCAAGCATTTTAGATTGCCATTTACTTGGTCTATTTCAATTGTTTCTAGTTCTTTTGATATTGTTCATTTAGATATTTAGACATCCCATATTTCAAGTATTTATGGAATAAACTATTATGTATTATTTTTAGAACATTATTGGCATTTTCTTTAGGTTTATCCATTACGTAACAAATCGAAAGTCGTCTGTAAATTTTTACACTTTCGTGTATATGTCAAAACCCAATTTAATACTGAAATAAAATCTTTCCAATTTGATAACAGGGGAGAATTTGATAACTGGCAATTTCACTGCTTATTTGACCAAATGGCATCATCTTTCATTTATCTTGCCCCAAAACATCCCAACAAAATAGGATGTCCGAACATATGATACGCACCATAAATAATATGATTTGTACCCTTTTATTTCAAGCTCACATGTTGCCCGAATATTCGAAGCTCTCCATATGACATCTCATATTCTCAACCTTACACATTCCACATCCATTCATAATGAAACTCCGTTCACTAGACTCTTTCATAAAACTCCTTTTTATCTTCTCCTTCGAGTGTTTGGTTAACTTTTCTATCCATACATCACACCTCCTCTTAAACTTGCCCTTCGCTCCACCCTATGTGTGTTTCTCGGTTATCCTACTAGTCACCGGTGATATCAATGTCTTGATCTTCCTACCTGCAAGATCATCATTCTAAATGCCATATCCCATTTTATGAATCCTCCTTCCCTTTTATCTATGTTACTCCTGACCTTCGTCCTTCTTATTCCTTCCTTGGAGAATGATCTTCCATCATCATTTCTCACATCCTTTAAAATTCCATCATCACTCCCTGGATGACTCATCTCCAGTAACCAACATAACTCCGGTTACTGACTGTCCTCCATCCCCTTCGGGTGCCATGCCTTCCACTTCATCCTCCACTACTCATACCACTCGAGCACCTCCTCTTACTCACCCCATGATAACAAGTGTCAAACATGGTATCTCCAAACCTATCTCTCATCTTAATCTCCATACCACTACCGAGTCTTTAATTCCTAAATCCCATCTACATGCCCTTCGTGACCCTAATTGGGTCATTTCCTTGCGAGATGAATTTGATGGTCTTATTTCTAAGAAAATCTCAAAACTTGTCCCGGGGCCTCAAGGGGCCAATATTGTACGTTATATGTGGTTATTTATAAAGAAATACAGAGCAGGTGGATCATTTGACAAGTATAAAGCACTGTTGGTTGCAAATGGGAAAAGTTAGAGACCTGGTGTTGATCTTGATAAGACTTTCAGTCCGGTTGTTAAACTGGCCACTATATGCTCGACCTTAAGCATTGTCGCATCCTGCTCGTGGCCCATCCATCTGCTGGATGTTAAGGATGGTTTTTAGATGGCCAACTTCATGAGACTGTTTACATGCGTCAACCCTCAGGATTCCATCATCCGAATCCTCCTGATTATGTTCGCTTCTTACAGAAATCCCTATACGACTTGAAGCAAGCCCCTCGAGACTGGTTTCATAGGTTCACCAACCATCACTCGGATCAGATTAATCCACAAAAAAACTGGATCCTCCTTTTTCACCTACCAGAACGGCTCTCTCATTGCCTTTCTTCTTCTATATGCTGACGATATCATCCTTACGGCAAAGGCAGTGAGAGAGCCGTTTTGGTAGGTGAAAAAGGGCATTAACTATATATTCTTTAATTGAATGAAATAAATTACCGGAAATCATTCTAAGTCTAATACGTTGGTCAACAAATCACTTTTTAGAAATCAAGCTATATCAGGGGCATTAACTATATATTCGTTAATTGATTTAGAGGAATTAATCTAGTCATGTTAATTCTTACAAAATACATGAAATAATTTTTAGCCCTTTCATCTAGGAAACTTATAGCATAATTACAACTACATTGATATATATTTCATTAAGTGCGACGTCCTTATTTTATCTGATATTAATAAGCATGACATCCATTTTCAAGTTAATGCTAAATATAAAAATATTTGCAATATTTCTTTTTTTCCACCGCAAATCATTAAAAATCATCTCTACGAACAAGCTATAGCAGAAAAAACAGGGGAATTGTATAACGTTTATAGCAATTTGAGGTTTCTTAACCCACTCGGTCAAATTTGGTTTACATCTATGCTCTCTCAATTTGCGTTTGCTAGAATATCCAAATGTGGCACCCTATGAAACCATTTAGGGACTTTTTTTGTTAGATCGTTAACACTACACTTCTCGAGGACCAGACTGTATAAATTGTGTTAATCGTTCACCTTATTGCAGTATCAAAAGTCCAATGAGCAGATGGCATATTGGTTATCATGTGCATCTAATCTATTATTCTTAATCCAAAAAAGTAAAAAACTTGATGGTGGAAGTACAGTTCCGGAACCACCACCTTCAACTATGCCACATGAAGAAATGATAAAGGTATTGATTTTTATTATTATCAATTTCATCAATTCAATATAGATAGTTTTGTTCAATGATATGGTTTTATACTTATATATCTACTGATTTGGTTCATCCTTGTGTCTACGTTGATGAGGGTGGGGAGGAGGTTGTACGACAAGTTCAAGTAAAAAAACCAGCATTACATTTCATGGATCAACTAACGGAATATGTAGAGAATATATACAACTTTATCTGTGACGACATGATTAAAGAGTTGCAACCCTTACTTGCCTCGTCCATTGAGGTAGTTCAACTTGGATTCGTTCACACCTATAGTCTTTTTGTATGTGTGTGATCATAATATATATATATATATATATATATATATATATATATATATATATATATATATATATATATATATATATATATATTCTTATTTCTTACTTAATTACTAATTTGCATATTATTTACATGTGATCGATGCATTAATACACCCGGATAACAATTTTGAAATTCAGGCTCCACAAACATTCGAGGGACTAACAAGTTCTAGAAAATCCTTTCGCGAAGATTCTCAATTCAGTGATTGGCAAGGGATTCTTGATCACCTTAACAATCTACTCAAAACGATGAAAGAAAATTATGTAAGTGTATTATCTGCAACCTCATGTTTTTCCTTTGATTTGTATAATACTTATCATTGTTGCAATTATTTTTTCCATAAGAAAAACTAATTAATAAATTTACAAATTAAAATTGTCCAAAAAGTTTTGTTTACGAGATTTTCTCAAATAATTGCATTTCAGGTGCCTCCAATAATTGTTCAGAAGATATTAGCTCAAGTTTTCTCCTATATTAATACACAGCTCTTTAATAGGTGTTTTATTACGCAACTTTAGATTTTTTTCCCTTTCATTTCCACTGTTTCCATCATTTATATTCATTTGAAGTTATCTTCATTATGTAGTCTCCTTACGCGTCACGAGCGTTGTACCTTCAAAAATGGTGAATTTGTGAAAGCCGGTTTAGCGGAGCTGGAGCTATGGTGTTCTCAGCCACCACAAAAGGTAATTGTTTATGCCGACTATTTGCGTGCCACATTTGTTTGTCTTTAATAAATATGATTGGTTGTGGTTGGAAATAACATATAAATTAAGAAAAAAATACCTAGAAAAAAGATAAACAAAATTCCACATAAATAATGAGACAATTGAAAATATTAAAGACAATGATTTACGTTCACACAATCACATTGCTTGGCTGATCCTTGGGCGAATGAGAGAGAGAGAAAACTTTATTATCATGAAAAGAGGCTCAGTCCAAACATATATGGCCATATGGGCCCCACGGCAGAAAGAATAAAAAATGTTCCTTTAAAGACAAATATAATAAAGATTTAAAAACATATCACGCACTCTTCAATATAGACATGTTCAATTAGCACTACCAAGCAAACTAAGTTATTTAGCTTTTGAACTAATTTGAGTTTCATTCAATTTTAGGCCCTAAAAATCCTTTAGGTAATAATTTTTTTATATATATAAACTACATAGCCCATAAATTTTGGGCTCCCTGGAGTCGTCAGCCCTAGGCGGTCGCCCGGGTTGCCCACTGTCTTGACCGGCTCTGCATGAAAAAGCACAATTCTCTAACACACATACACAACTCAGCAAAGAAAGAGCATCAATATATACAGCAAGGTGATATAATTTTATAGTCTACAAGTACCTGCACTCAGTGGCGGACCTTAGTGGAGCCCGGGGGGTCCCAGGCCGGTGCTCCGATTCAGGCACGTTGTGTAAAAAAAAATTTAATGTTTTTTTTTGTTTTTTCTATTAGGTGCACCGGATTAAAATACGAGTTCCACTACTAATTTAGATTTATTCAGAAATTTTGTTTAGTGTCACTCCCATTAAAACGTTCGGCGACCGCAACTGCCTACACGTCATATGGATAGACTCTATAAACCATGCATGAAGACCAACCAACTATTGACCCCACAACCTATCCCGCACCAGACCCCACTGGCCTTTCATCAGGGTATACTACAGACACCCCTACATTTACCCTCGTGGCTACCACGTATATGTTGGGGATTCCATGACTAAATTTAAGTAGCATAAATGAGGTCAAAAAGTATATTAGAATCCATAGCTCAATAGTATATTGCAACATAATCAGGATTAAAATATAACAAATATTGCATTTTTAATAAAAATTGGAGAAAATTTTGTCGATGTGATACAACCTCGTAGTTTCCTTTGGATTCATAGTCCTATGAACATCTGCTCCAAATTAGGTTTGTTAGGATGGTATTATAATTCGATTGATATGTAAACTAATAGTAATCTCAAAAGATAATGGCTAAGGTTTCATATACCACACGTGTGTTGTGTCTAGACAGGAGCTTTGAAATTTAACCAGACATGCACTCGCTTCATGAGATAAACCCAAGTATAATGAGTGTAATCCCATACATGCGACAACAGTAGGAGGGGCCTCCCTTGAAACAAGTTAGGGATGGACCCACACATCACAATTAACAAGATCAAAAGGATCAAATGAATAAGAGACATTTTTATTGAACGATAAAGTAGAAAATTTTGCAATTTTACAACCACTATAGTTAGAAATAGCATAAATGATGAAACGACCCAAAATACTGGAAGAGTCTAACAACTATAAACATGAAGACGGTAGATGTCCCAAATGAGAATATCAAAGATAAAAAGCAGCATAAGAACGATTCAAACAAAAATAAGACAAATCAACAATAGATGCAGCAATATTTGAAACTTTAACCTAATCTACAACATAGAATTCTCCTTGTCCTACTGTGGATCCTGATCAATCTCTAAGATTATAGATCCTTTACAAAACAAATAGAATCCAAATAGAAGACCCAATATCCACATTTACACAAATGACCGACCAAACCAAGGTTTAAACAAGTTTAGGAATATAATAGACATCAGTGAGAGAAATATGAAGGGTATCAATATAACCCACACCTATTGGCAATTATGTACCATTAGTAGGTATAACAGAAATAGGTGAACTACAAAACAAAGAAACATAGGATGACAAACATGATGACATACAGTTATATACACCAGAATCTAGAATTCATAATAATCGAGGAATACCTGAAGTATTGGATGAAGACACACACGAATGGCATATGGATGCTGACATTGCATTTGGATTAGAGGCAATGTATTATATGAAGGCCTAAAATCATATGGTCCAAATTAAATGGTTGTATTATGGTTGCTTAATGATCGGTCTCTATAGAAGGTACAACAACAGTGAACTATGGTGGATGTGGTGCCTACAGTGTGGGAGTAGACGGTCCGGTTCAAAAGATGTGTGAAAATGTCTAGATGTTATGTTTTGTTATGAAACCATTTGTTTTTGTTTCGCTTTGTTCAATTTTAGTAGGCCTAACATATCTAATGATTCCTCTGTTTGCTAAAAACACATTCATCAATCGCAACTTTAGGGGATAGTCGGAACAAATTGGCTTAGGTTAAGATGGAATGTTAAAAATAATAGGCATAATTGAAGCTTTAGACCATTTGGCAACTAGATATTTGATATGAGTTTCATCTACATTCAAATCATGAACAACGGACTCAAGTACATGAAGAGGGGTACAATGGAGAATTGTTCTATGTATGCCTTCAAAATCAGAATGTAGTGCCATCAAAAACTCCACCAAGCATTGATCTTCCATTTTAGCAATGCATGGTTTAAAGGCTTTAGTTTAGAAGACTCTTTGAGAGCAACAAATCCTTTAAATTTGACATAATAAAATAAAAAACATGAACACTCATAGTGTTCTATTGGAGGGCTCAAATATCAGTCTCTCATTGCCTTTAGCAAAATTTGTTTAAGTGTATAGTTTATCCAAGTGATACCAAATTTATTTTAATGTATCTCCAATTGGATGCCAACTGACCGAAGAACATGGTGATCGATCCGAGTGGTAATATTAGAACTATTCTCGAAAGCTTGGAGTGGCGTTGCATAATTAGAAGCTTTTTCTTCAACTGGTTTTCCTTTTATACTAGTAACAATACCTCATATATGTCTATACTACAAAAAATTCTTCATCACATAACTCCAATACACATAATATTTTATATATAGTTTGGTGTTAATTGTAGAGAGTCGTCCTTGAGAGCCTTATTAACGGTATTCAAAGCAAACAAATACCGAAAATAACCAACGAACAATTTCGAGCAATTACCAAAATGAACAAACAACAATCTCAAAATTTGTTTTTTTTTCCGATGAACATTACTAAGTCTATGAAAACTCTCTAGTCGAAGAACAATATTGAGTCGTACAGTGCTAAACGATGAACAATGTCCAGTTGATGTACAATGTCAAGTTGATGAACATTTACATTATTTTCTTTCAATAAAAAATAACAATCGATCTACAAAAATAATTTAGATTTTATAGAGCTCTTATATTATATAAATTAATGGCAATCTCAATAGAAAATGGCTAAGATTTCATTGTTGAAAGAAAACTATGAAATATAAATAAATGTAAATAAGCATATAAATAGAAAAATTATCTAAAATTAACCTAACTAAAAGGCTAAAAAAAGTCCAATACAAAAATAGGCCTAAAATACTTTTAGTATACTAAAATGATGATTGTAAACTTCATAGGATCCCAAGTCATTAGTTTTTTATTTCTGTTTAGTTGCAGCTAAAAACACAATTTGCACAAACATGCATACATACATAGATAAATTGTGTATATACATAGTTACATACATATGCCCGAGCATACATACAGACATCATGTATTCACAGATATGTCTAGATCAAAACAAAACTATTATGATAGTTTAGCCATCGATGGAATTAATTCCTTGGGCAGTACTTTGATCTTGAATTCTTACAAGCGAACATCATTTTATCTTTGGTACTTCTATATGTTCTTTAAATAATAACTATTTTCCCCGTAGAAATTTAGCACACAATTAACAAGTAAGTTCTTATGGGTTGAATACATGTTTAATGTCTAGTTCTTTAATTTATTTGTAAAAATTCATTTATATCCTAATAAGGACAACATCTAAGGTCAGATCGAATTCTAATTGTTCAAGTAACTCTTTGTTAATGCAATTAGCTAAGCGTTAATTGGTCACTTTAGGTTCTGAAAAATACTTTATATGCGACAGTATGCTGTCTTAGCCTGGGATGAACTTCAGCATATTCGACAAGCTATTGAGTTTCTGGTATGTTTCCTTCAATTTATGTTGTACCCTGGAGGTTCTAATCTGTTTCTCTTCTCTCCCAATATTTAACTTTTTACAATTTTTTAAATTTCGACATAAATTGTTTATATAAATCGTTCATTGTTATACTAGTTACACTTATTCAGTAATTTTAATACCTTCAGGTGAAACAGGAAAAGCACATGTTATCGTACGATGAAATAACCAACCTATTCCAAGTAAATCTCTTTTCCCTCATAAACAGATGACCTATTACTAAAATTTCCATCTCAATATTGCAGATTAGCATTACAACTTAATTACCTATTGTTATAACACGGTTCTAGACCTTATCGCAGAATTAGAATCTACTTTCAATAACTATTCTACTCATGGAAATCCTATAACTTGGCAAAACAAGGTTGATCATTGTAATTAATATCTCACTAATCAATCCAATCAGAGAATGTCATGCTAGTAAGCATTACTATATATATGAAAGACTAACTTTTAGTAAATAGTGTTTTTCGTCGTTGTGCATATGTCAATTATGGAGAGAGTGGTGGATCCAGCCAGCAAGTCAAGTGGGGTGCATAGCCTTTGACCATGTAAATTAATAAAAAAAAATTAAACACTAAAAAGTTGAACCTCTTAACTTGGTTAACTGTTAGTCTGTTAACTGAACACAAGTATATAGATCGATCCACTGATTCACTTACATAAATATAAAATTAAGAAAAAAATCAACAAAACAACAAATAATCATTCGTAGAAACAATTAGAAAAAATAACCTCTCTCTTCATCCGAAACATAACACAAAGTAAACTATAACCTCTTAAAAAAATTCGAGATAGCTCTATAGTAGTTCCAGCAAACAGCGCAAATTATTAAGGAGTGTAGAGTCATTTTTGGTTTTTTATTTTATTTTATTTTTATTTTTTTTGAGAGAGAGAGAGAAAGAGAAATTTTGAATGGAGGCTAACTGTTTAATAACAAAATGTTAATAGTATATATATATATATATATATATATATATATATATATATATATATATATATATGTGTGTGTGTGTGTGTGTGTGTGTGTGTGTGTGTGTGTGTGTGTGCACGCGTGGGTCCACATCCAAGTGGACCCATACACCCTAAAGTTAAGATCAAGATCCTATGTATGATCGTTTTTTGGTTTGTAAGATCGAAATCATAAAATCAGATCGGGATCCTAAGATCCGAACAAAAAATATAATTTTTAATTTTTAATTTTTAATCATGAAAAAGTATTTCAAACATTCAATTTTTTTTGTTCAAAAGTTATAAAAAACTTCAAAATATTAGTCATAAATCACAACAGAAAATGATAAACGGTAATTGGTAAAGGATAAAAAACATAAAATAGTAAAAATTTTCATTACAAAATAATAATAATAATAATAATAATAATAATAAATCAAGGGAACGTAGGATCGGATCGGATCTCGATCTTATTTTCGATCTTACGATCTTACCTGCGATCATAGTTAAATATGATCCGTTTACGATCTGGATCGTTTTTCATACCTAGGATCGTATGATCGTACGATGAGGATCACGATTTTAATAACCATGGTATTTTCGATTGTAAGTAATTCTGAAATAATAGAATTTTTAAAAGATAGATACCATATATTTGGAAAGTAGTATAATGATATAATTTTTAATTTTCAAAATTTGAATAAAGCTGACACTCGATTATTTACTTATTTACTTTTGAATTTTGAAGATTCTAAGCATCCCGCAATTGCATAGACTATGCACAATATATAGGCTCGACCCTAACGATGTATTCTCCCATGTAAGTGCTACATGTGGAATTTCATTTTAAACAATTAAATATGTATCCATAATATCGTATACTAATTGTCTTGTCATCGTGTTATCTTTAACCAGGTTATTTTAACAATGAAGATATTGATGAGAGTAAATTCTTGTTTTGGTTATTGCCATCGACGAAATCTCAGTTCCAGCTACGGATTAAAATATCTTCTGAAGATTCTATGCATCGTAATTTTGTATTCAATATGCACTATGTATTGGGAGGACACTCACAACGTATCCTCCGATGTAAGTGCTACATTTAAAATAATATTCTAAGAAGTTAAATATGTCATCATAATATGGTATATTAATTAATTAACTGGTCATTGTGTTATCCAGGTTATCATAATGATGAAGATATGGATGAAAGTGCATTCTAGTGTCACTTATCTACTAACTGATAGCTCCAGGTATTACGCAATTTCGTTTTTTGATGTTTGTTGGAAGATGACGTGATATGATTAGATAGTTCATACATTAAATGTCACACATTACGTAGCTTTGAAAAAAGGCCCCTAAGTATCCAGTTTTGCAGCAACCCGATTACAATATATACTAGCTATTACACATTATTTTTAAATTATTATAACTATCCAACCTCCATCGCATGCCAATTATACAATTTCGATAATATTCTTTTAGTAATATTTTTTCCTTCATCAAAAACTCAATTGGATGACTCAATCAACAAAAGAATCTTACAGAAAAACGAAGAACTCTTACATATATAGAGCCATATAGAATTATATCGCACCAATGTGATATTATCACTTTCATGTAGGCTCGATTGCAAAGTTGTCTTAACCCATGGCCTGCAAGACAATGACCTAATATCATCTATATCATATCGTATTACATTATAAATAAGATGTTTTTTTTTCTATCATCATATGCACTTGAAACTTTCATAATCTTTTCAATTTCAACTTAGTATAATTAATTATTATTTTAAAATATGTTATTAAGTGTTAAATCTAATTTTGTTATTATTAGACTTTTAAAATAACTATTATACTATACTCGTATGTTAATTTAAATATTAGGTTAAATCCAAAACATAAATCAAAATACAAAATAAACATAAAAATATATTCAAGTGTTATTTTTCAAAAATGTTAAAAAAATTTATATATACTAAATATAAAACGACAAGTCAAATTAAATAATAAAATATAAAAAAAAACTCTTTTTGATTATCATTTAAATTTTGTGTAGGAAGATATTATTGAATGACATAACTCTAATAGATATATATTTTATAATATGGTTTATAATAAGTATATAAATTTCTATATGGACTTCCTTTAAGAGTTATTATTTTATAGTTAATATCTTCTTATTTTATAGTTAATATCTTCTTATTTTCAGCATATATTTGCAAAATAATAAACTCTAGTCTTTTTTTTTTGTGCAACCTGCAATATTCGCCATGTATATTAATACAATAAATCACTTTCTTTTCGAATTTCAATATTAACTCTTTAGTATCTATAATTTTTTAACACTAATAAGTAATTTGTAAAAATATTTTATAATACTTATAAGTGTTTTTGAATTAAATGACAACAATAATAAATAATAGTAACATAAAAATATAAATCACATAACAATTAGATTAAAAACAATGGTTGATAATTGAAAAAAAAAATATGATCAGAATTGAAATGTACTTGGTTTGGGGCCTCTATTAGCTACTTGCTATTGAGGTGTTCTTTTTATAGTATCATTGTTGTTTCTAAAAAAAAATTCTGAAATTATTCATTATAATAGTTAAAAGTACCATTAAATATAAAAATTATATTTAATTTTATTAATATGTATGGTCAAATAAGTAACTTTTAAAATAATTAACCATAACAATAGTTAAAAGTAACAATAAATTGAAAATTATATTTTAATTTATAAATATGTTAGCCACCCAAAAAACTTGTTGAATAACATTGTTCAAAATTGTTGCAATTTTAGATAGATGTAGAATATACTATATGTTTTTTCTTTCTCTCAAGGATATGCTAATAAATTTAAATTTGATGTATTTGCGTCTTCATGAATTGTTAGTTATTCTATGAAACTTGAATCCGTAGCTCACCTATTAGAATTTCATCAAAAACTGATATCAATAAATCATGAGTTTAGTGCAATTGATTTCAGTTTATTATGATGAATGCACGTTATCATACTCTTATATATTGCAAATGCAACTAAATATTAATAAACATTATGATATTATTATCCATCACAAATGCATCTGAGTATAAATAATGAACTGAGATTCTTAAATGCAGAAAAACTTTCAATGTTGATGACCTATACACCTCCTTGCAAGTAAAAGATTTTCAAAACATTAATCCTCCTATAGAACTTTCAAAGTGTGGAGCCTTTAAAGTTCTTAACAACTAAAGACCATACCTCACCAAATTATGTTTCATGTAAGTTGAGGAGCAATAATGTTTTATGTAAGGTAAGGATTTTAAAAACTCCATTTTAGTTTCCTGGTTTTGTAATTAAAGCATATTGAATGGAAGGGAATCTCAAATGTTATGACGGTATAATTATTCTACAAGCGGTACTTATTGGTATCGCTATCAATGTATTCTACTAGAACAATCCTATCATGGTATGGTCAGAGATTGTTGTTGTTGTCTCTTTGAGTTGGTTGTGTCATTGGTGTGTAGCTTTCCTAATTTCGTGATTCTTTAATTTTGTATTGTTGATTATTTTCCGAAACTTAATCCCTACATGCTGATATGTTGTTGTGATAATGTCACCTTTTTGGAAAGTGTTAAATTCGACTATGGTGTGTCAACATGTTCTTACCATTTACAAGCGATGATTTTTAGTTGTGCTATGTGCTTATTATTGTTATATATGAGAAATTTACCTTTTTCATTGGGTTGGTTAGTGTTATAAAATAATCAAATGCTAAAAAGCAATAAGAACACCAATAACAAAAAGTGGATGATCCCGGAATCTGAACACTTGGTATGAATCAATAAGAAAAGCATAAAATAACACAAATTATTCAACAAATAAAAACTTATTTATTTGTTAGTTTTATTTTAAATAGGATTTTTGGTTAAGAACACACTTTTTAAATCCTCTCTAAAAACTCACTAATAACCGTCAGAAAAACATTCTACATGAAACTCTTTATCTCTCAAAAGTGCATACAGATCATCATCGTTCAACATACAAAAGGAGCTGATACATTAAACGTTTTGATTTTCAAGTCAAAATTTTGATATTTATTTATTTAAAATGTAAGTCTTACACACGTTATATTAAATATTTAGTTATAAAAGAGAGTTTTAGCGGAAGTCTTAAAATATATCATTAATGCCTTGGATGCAGGTACAGTCATGTGTGATTCTTTCCATGATTCAAAGAACATCCTAAAAAATAGTTATTTAATAACTGTAATCTGAGGCTTAATAAATTCTTCCATGATATCATATACCACAGTATATAAAGAATGCATACACATAATTAGCTTCAGCATAAAGCTGGACCGCCCCTTTGGTCTTCATCTTAAAGTCGATCCGCCTCTTGGCCTTCAGCATAATGTTGGTCCGTCCGAGTATATTGGCCTTCAATATGAGGCTGACTCACCCTCAACTCCCAAATATATAAATATATTAACACTTATATAGCAGAAAAACTGTTCCAGATGGTAGGAAACTAACTAAGCTAGTCTAGGCCTAATTGTATAGTACATGGTAATTATATCCCAACATACAAAGGATGCATATCAGAGTATATAATATAGTGAGAAGAACTCACCTACAAAATTTATCAAAGGATTAACAGTTAATCGAACAACTCAGCTGACGAGCAACACGCCAACGAAGATTAACCTATAATACTATAATTATTAGTTCCTATGCGGATATGGTAAAGAATGCTAGATCTTGCACTAATCACCAATGAATACTGAGAGTTCTATCAAATAAGGATCAAGCATGACAGTTGAGAGGCAAGATCTTTTCGACATATAGCTTTTCTGAATTCCAACAACCAAACCAACATAACCATTCTAAACACCTCTCTCGTAACTAGATCAATCGGCATTATAATTGGAATTACTAATAAATCTTATTTATAGGTCAATAATAACGAGTATGACTATAAATATAAGTTACACTCGAATTAGGATAAGTGTAACTTAACTTACAAAAATTTTAGTGAAAAAAGAGAAATATCACGGGCGAAATTCCGACCTGAGGGCTTCTACTAGTCGTGCCTAGATACCTACAGCGCGTCAAAAACCAATCTTAGAATTTAGAGAATAGGACTTCTTAAGGTAATTAATTTTTCGAGGTGTTTACATATAATTAACTATTTTTTGTACACATCTATGTAACAAACTTTTTGGAACTGTTCACATATGACTATTAAGACCTGCTGTAGCAAATTACATCCAGCTACAGCAGGTCATAATGGTTATATGTTAGCACTTTCAACAAGTTCATAACCTAGATGTGTACAAAAAAAAAAAAATTACCTAAATATGAACAAAACCAAAAGTAAGAGTAAATTACACGAATGGTCCCTACGGTTTGGGGGAATTTGTGCATTTGGTCCCTAACTTATTTTTTTAACTCGGATGGTCCCTACTGTTTATTTTTGTTGCGCGTTTAGTCCCTGTCTTACCTAAAAAGACTATTTTGCCCTTATTAATTTATTTTTTTTAATTAATTTTATTATTTATGTTTTTGTTTTTATATGTTTAAAAAAATTAATAGACTTCACATGTCTGTATCACGTCACCGTAAACCTAAAACCACATTTGAGAAATTTAATCTGGGTCCTACCGGTCACCATCCCATCTCACATCCTCTTCAACCTCTATTTTCTTTCCATATTTAGTGAAATGGAAGTCTTCACCATCCTTTTTTTTGTCCTTCAACTTTGGCAAACAAACACCATAACCCAATGTCTCTTCACTTTAGTAGGTTGTGGTGTTGGTTCGCTGGAGTTGAAGGATCGAAAAAGAATGAATGGTGAAGACTTTGATGTTATTAAAGATGAAAAAGAAATAGAAGTTGATGATGATGAGAGATAGGTTGTTGAAGAGATACAGATATGTAGGGTTTATTAGTTTTTTTAAACATATAAAAAAAATACATAAATAAGAAAATTAATTAAAAAAAAGTTAAATTAATAAGGGTACAATAGTCTTTTTAGGTAAGACACGAGCCAAGTGCAACAAAAATAAACAGTAGGGACCATCCGAATTTAAAAAATAAGTTAGGGACCAAACACATAAATTCCCCCAAACCTCCGACATCATTCATGTAATTTACTCTTACGTTTGGTTTTGTTCATATTTGGGAAACTATTTTTCTTTTGTACACATCTAGGTAACGAACTTGTTAAAAGTGTTCACATGTAACCATTATGACCTACTGTAGCTGGATGTAACCTGCTACAGCAGGTCATAATGGTTATATGTGAACAGTTCAAAAAAGTTTGTTACCTAGATGTATACAAAAAAAATATAGTTACCTACATGTAAACAAATTGAAAAGTTAATTACCATAATTAGTCCTATTCCCTAGAATTTAAGAGAGGTATTGGAAAATGTGTGATAAGTGAATATTCCGAGGAGGCACACCGACCATGCCTGTTGCACCCATGGGTAGGTGGGTTGGGTGGGTTGCCTGTTGCCGTATGTTTGCTCTTGGGACTCCGATGTCCGGTAGAATCTTAGATGTTTGAAAATTTGTATCTCTCTCATACTAGCACCGTCTTTGACGTTCTTTATACCCACGTGTAACTATCTATGTGTACTACGACTTTCAGTTAGACTTTGTCAGCTAATTCTCATTCAATTTTAAGTTAATAGTCTATGAAGATTACACTGTCAACGACTGTCTAAAATTCATAACTCTTTCATACAAACTCTGCTCACGAAAGTCCTTATATCGAAAAAATCATATCGTCGAGATCTTCAACTCTTGTTTAGATTGTTTTTCCTAACAATCGACTTATTTAAATTTCAGTTGCTGTGTCGCATACCGTTGCGTTGAAACTTCTATAAATCAAAACTTTATCATACGAAGTCATATTTGGATGTTCTATATTAGGCACGCTCTTGGTTTTACGATATCTAAGACTTTCACTTATATTTCTTATGCTAATATGCTAAGCAGTTAATATCGGCGATTTCCTGTTGATTTCCAGGTGGGATATCGGTTATCGTTACTTTTCAAAATAGTGGTGTCAAATATCGGTCCAAAATATCGGACCGCAAAAAATTGGTTATATTTAACCAATATTTAATAGATATCCATTGATATTTCCAGGTGATTTTCATGTGGGATATCAGTTAACTAATTTTAGTTGCTTTTCTTAGTGTTAAGTCATTGCCTTATGTCTTATGGACTTAACTTAACTGAACATGCTATTATGTTATGTACTTAATTGTTAGTTTTAGGTCATAGACTCATGTTTTAAGTATTAATCGATCTTATTGTTATGTTAATTGTTACATACTTAAGTGTTAACTTGTTAGTTTCTATAGGTTTGATCATGTTGATGTGTTAAGTACATAATTCTTAAATGATGATGATGATATTAAAGTTGATGTGGATGATCTGGATAAAATAATTTGATGCCTTGGTTGATGTGGACTTGGAGGAAGATTCTATGGCTTACGTAAGATTATATTTCAAACATTGATAGTTTTGAATTTTAACTTTTTATATTACTTTTATATATGTTTTATGTTTATATATATTGATTATGCATGATATAAAAATACCGATGTCCCACCGATATCCCACCATGATAACCTATATCCTAAATATTGGCCCTTGACTGATATTTTATTTTGGACCGCTATAACTACCTAGCTAATAAGCAACATATCTAAAATTCACTTTTTATGATCGTAGAGCCATGTCGGTCTAATCGCAAAACTTCGAAGAAGCATAACTTCTTCATACGAAGTTGGATTTAAGTGTTATATATATATATATATATATATATATATATATATATATATATATATATATATATATATATATATATATATATAAGAAAATTGTATTGACGTTTTCTACATGTTTATGATGAATATTTTAGCTTAAAAGTAATACATTTCCACTCTGTATTTTATAGTAATTGCTTAATATTACAAACTACAAAATTATTAAAATACGTTGTTACAACTCTCCCCCGCCTGTAAGGATTTTTTCCCCTGAAATCTAACTAAATAATTATAGGTAGTTGGATCTCGTCTCTTCTTTTGGTTCCTAAGTCCATCTTGATCTAGACTGTCACCTTGTTATGTAACGTTTTTGTCTTCTTATCTAGGATCGTCACTAGTTTCTCCATGTATTTTAGATGTTCATCTACGTGAATATCCTCAATAGGTATAATTATTGATTCATCCATAATGCACTTCCTTAATTGCGAGACATGGAAGCTGTTGTGGATCAAACTAAGTTCTTATGGTAGATCGGAAGTGTAGGTAACCTTGCCCACCCGAGCAATAACTCAAAGGGTACAATATAACTAGGAAGGGTATGGAACTAGGGTAAGTTTCACATTCTAGCCAGGAGCAGAAACGACCCAAGTGTCCGTTTAGAATGAGGTTTTATTAGTGGGAGTTCGGGAAACTTCCAACCCCTGGTCGACATCATCTTTATTATGCATAGCAGGCTTGGGCTTGAGTCCAAGTTGAGGTC